AGATTTAAATGTTTTGGTTTTAATAACAATAATGTCATACAAAAGAAAAGATGATTTACAGTATAATTTATATACAATTTGTATTCATATGTTATAATTAATTCATTGAATGAATAACTTTAACATCCAATCCAAGAGAAACACTGAATATTATACAGCATTCATATATAAAAACGTCGATTCGGTTTCTATATATATAATTAATTTAAATATATTTATATATACTATTCATACATATAAGACATCCAAAAAACCTTTCAATCAATTAATTCACAAATCAATTCATTTCAAATGAAATAACAAAAACTCATATTCTTGGAGAACACCATAAAATCATTAAAAAACTTATTTATTATAGAGAATAGAGAAAAACAAAAAACATTTTGGAAATAATTAAATAATTTAGTTCTTATTCTTTAAAACTAATAGTATTTATAATTATATTAATGGTTAGTCTATGGGGAAACTCATGCAATGTATGAATACTCGTCTGTATTACTGGTATTTCTCTCCAAATACTGCTTTTCCATCAGAGCTTCGATGCATTTTTTGATCATCTGAACGGATGGCGTGAACCGATTCTTTGACTGATTTATCACTTGTTCTATCAGTTGGTTGTGTTTTAAGACTTTTCTGTCTTTCATTATCCTAACGATCGCCGCCTGAAGATAGAGTTTGCGGTCCTCATCGACCGATGCGTGCGTTTGTTCCACTTCTTGTTGCTATCAATTCATTATATCGTATCAATTATAACATTGTCTTAATATTTACAATACATTTGTTATCAAACAAATGAGTGAACAATTGTTACCAAAACTTGTTGTACTTCTTTCTGTTGAACGGCTGTTATCTTGAATTTAATGCGTTTATTACTATAATTAAGATTCAATGAGTAGACCGTATCGACCGAATGGGGCGTCAATTGGGATGCCGTCGACGCGCTCGACGACTGAGTATTGGATTCTTCGTCGGCCGACTCATTGGACTTCGCGCTGCCGTCGGTTAACAGTATTTTATGGTCGACTAAAGACTGTAAATGTCTACTCAATTGTTCGTCCGTTAGTTTCGTATTTTCCTAAACCAGACAAACAATACAAACAAATAGTAAAACAAATGCCAAAAATACAACTCAAAAATCAATGGGAAAATACCTGTAATTCCCAGTAATGGAGAGAATCGGATGACTCGAAGAGCAAGAGAATGGCCATATGATAGGTGCCCATCACTACAGTGTAGTTGCGACGCGTGAACCCGAACTTGAGCTCAGTCTGGCAGAGGTGATGCAGCCAGGTCAGTTTGCGGCCGTTGAATTTGGACGCGTAAAACGTCTCGAACGCCGACACACTCTTCTCGAGCGACTGCGGGATCGCAAAGGGCGAGAGCGCCGACTGGTTGAGAGGCCACGCGCCCGCTTGAAGCACATAGATGTTGAAATTGATGCCCAATTCCACTACGTTTTGACGCAAATAGTCGTTGAAATTGTTGTTCAAATCGTCGCTCACTGTTTGGGACAAACAATCAATTCATTTCTCATTCAAACCCAATGTTTTTTGCTGCCATTAAACTGTCAATTGTTTGATACCTTTAATATCGGTGAACATTCTGTGCAATTTGGACGTAAACTCGTAACCGCACGCCTGTTTCAATTTGTTGATCATCGACTCTTCGGCGTCCATCGACACCGACTGCGAG